TACTTTTTTTCTCATTTTTTTCTATCTATTTTTTTCTCTTTCTCTCTCTCTCTCTCTTTGTCTTTTTTACTCTTTTCTTGCATTTCTTTTTTCCTTCTCCCTCCCTTTCTTCTTTTTTCAGTCTCATTTTTTTCGGTCGTTTTTCCGTTTTTTTATCTCTCACTTTCTCATTAATTTTTCATTTTTTATTTTAGCTCCGTTTTTCTATCTGTCTCTCTCTCACACTATCTGTTTCTGTATTCATCTTTTTGTGTTTCATTTTCTTTCTCCTTATCTAATTTTTATTTGATTGTTCTCTCTCTCTTTAGTTATCAGTTTCATTTCGTCTTTTTCTTTTTCTTTTACTCTCATTGCAATTTTGCTTTCAACTGCGATGAACGAAAAAAAATTTAGGAAGGGTGGGGAGCGGAGAGAGGGGAAGGAAGGAAGAGGAGGAACACGCACACGAAAATTTTATTTTTCTTCTTAATTGAAAAATTGATTTTAACGTAAAAACAGAATATTAAATTTTTCTTTTTTCCTTTTTCTCTTTCCTTTTTTCCTTTTTTTGTTTCTTTAAATTTTTTTTTTTTTTGTTTCCTTAAGGGTAGAAAATATTTTCTTTCTTTTTTTAAAGTAAAAAAAAAAAAAGTTTATATGTTTTCAATAGAAAACCTTCAACACGCAAAAAGTTTTCCTTTTTTTTCCTTTTTTTCCTTTTTTTTTCCTTTTTTTTTTTTTTTTTTTTTTTTTTTTAGAAAAGGAAGAAAATAAAACATTCCAACGTTAAAAAAAAGAAAAATATTTAAGGTGTGGTAAAATTATTAAAAGAAAAGTTTTTTTTTCTTTTTATTTACGGTACGGTGGGAGCTTTGGGGGGCCGGTTATGGGTTGAGATTTTTTTCTTTTTCCCCTTTCTCTTCGAGAAACAACAACAACCAATAACAACCAATTATTTTTTTTGAAATAGGTACGCGTAAAAAAATTTATTAAAATAATAATGACAATAAAATTAAAATTTCCGGTTTCGGTGATTTCCTCTACCCTCCCCCCTCACCCATTTCACTCCCCGATAAATTTTTCATTTCCTCCTATAAAGTTTTAAAAAAATAAAATAAAATAAAATTTTTTTTTCTCTTTTTCTCTCTCTCTCTCTCTTTGACTCTTCCCCCTCTCTCTGCGATAGACAAAAAAAAAAAACTTTCGAGAGAGTTTTCTAGAACAAATTTAAAAACGAAAAGAGATTCTCGAATTTTCAGAGTTAATATTTTACCTTTTGGTAGGACTTCATTTCCGGTGCTTCCCTTTTATCTCCGTTAATAAAAATAAAACCATAAAATAAATAAACGCTTTTCTTTTTTTTTTTTTAAACAATGACGTCATCGTTTCGAAACTTTTCTCGCGTAAAATTCTCGCGTCGTCGGTACGTTTGAAAAAATAAAATAAAAAGCGTTTTATCCATTATTATTATTATTATTGCGTGATAATTGAACGATGGATATTTTTCCTTTTTTTTCTTTCCTTTGTTATCATTTATTACGTTTATCAATCGATGATAATAATGATAATTTAAGTAGTCAAAAAAAAAAAAAATTTTTGTCTAGAAATTAAGTTTTGTCAAAGGATTTTCTTTTTTAAAAGGAATCGATCAAAGGTAATGAATAAAAGGAAAATTATATTTTGTGATTTTTAACGTTTTAAAGAGAAATGAATGAGGCGTCGTCGTCGTCGAGTCGTCATCGTCGGTAAAAAATGGCGGTTTAAAAAAAAGGAAAAATTTGAAATCTTCGGTGGGAAAAAGAGGCTTTGAGGGGTGAGGGTGGGAAGTGGTGGCAGTGGGGGTGGTGGTGATGTTTGGCGGTGTGTCGGCGGTTATCAGACTCCTTTCGGTTGGTTTTTTTTTTCTTCTCCATTTTATGTGAAAAATGACCCCGAGATTTTCAACGCGTAAATAATTCATTCCGAGAGTAAAATATAATTAATCACGAAACGAGAGAGAAAGAGAGAGAATGAGAAAAAAAATTTATTTTTTGTCTTCTTCTATCATATCAGATGAGTTTTCTCAATGAGGGTATTATTTTGTGTGTGATGACGTAACGCGAAAAAAAAAGGAAAAAAGGAAAAGTCGAAACCGGAAAAAAAACGAACTTTAAAAACTCGATCATCATCATCATGGTTGCATCGGACAATTAAAAAAAAAAAAAAACCGGAAGTTTACTTTAATACTCCTCCTCCTCTCTTCCTTCCCGCCGTGATAATAATAATAATAATAATAATAATAATAACGAAGAAAAAAGGAAAAAGGGAAAACAAAAAAGAAAAAATTTAAATTTCAAATAGTAAAAGTAAAAAGAAAGAGCAAAAAAGGAAAACCAATTCGAAAACGATAATCAAGGATTATCAAAGGATTTCGAGTTCGAGAATCGATATCACAAATCTCGAAATCGTGTTTTTGAAAAATAAAAGGAAAAAAGAAAAAGGAAAAAAAGGAAAGTGAATCGAAAAATTTTACGGAAAATAATAATAATAAGAATAAGAAAAGAATTTTTTTTATTTTTATTTTTTTTTTCACAATCGAAGGATTTTGTGTTTTATGTTTTTTTTTAAGTTGGTCACACGTCATTTCCGCTTAAGCCGCCATATTTAAAAAAAAAATTCGCGCCTTTTTTTTTTAAATTTCCAAAAAAAAGTTTTCGAATTTTAATCGGAAATTAAAAAAAAAAAAAAATTTTTTTCGTTTTTTTTTTTTTTTCTTAATGAATATTTTTTTACTCCGACATGAAAAATTATTTTCTCTGCTAATAAAAATTCTTGCAGAAAAAAAGAGAGAGAGAGGAAAAGAGAGTGAGAGAGAGAGAGGGAGGGGGAAGGGGGGAAACTCGAATTTAAAAAATATTAACAAAACCTTAAAACAAAAAAAAAAAAAAAAATTTTTTTTCTTTTTTTTTTTTAATTTAAAAACTTTTAACGCTTAACAAAAATCTATTTTTTTCCTTTTTTTTCCTTTTTTCCTTTTTTTTTTTTTACCTTTTTTTCCTTTTTCTAAAAACTTTTCTTAAAAGTTTTTACATAAAATAAACTTAAAATTAAAATAAGAATTTTTTTTACAAAAAAAAAAAAAGAAAAAAAATTTTTTTTTTTCCGGTGTTCGATTTTTTTATTTCCAAACCTCCTATTGTTGACCTCTTCTTCTTCCTCCCTCCCTCCCTCTCTTTCTCCCTTCTTCCGTGACCTTTTGGGTTCTATCACGTTAAATTTTTTGTTTGATGACATCCCGTCACGCATGATAGATTCAATCAACAACAACAACAACGACAAAAAATTATTCAAAAGGAAAAAGTAATAAATTAAATAAAAAAACGTTTTTTTTTTTTTTTTTAAATTCATAATCAGATTTATTTTATTTATAAATATTTATCGCGTGTGCGTGCGTGTACGCAATCTAAAACCACGACAAAATATTAATAATAATTTTTTTTTTTTTTTTCATACGGAAAAGTGATTAAAATCTTCTTACACGTCTCACCTCCCATTTTAATTTATTTAATTTACCACCACCGCCACCATCAAAGTTATTTACTTCCGTTTCCGTTTTTTTTCTCTCTCTCTCACCCTCCACCCCATAGTTCGAAATTGTTTTTATTTAATTAATCCCTTTATTAATTATTATTATTATTATCATCATTATCATTATCATAATCGATCGAAAAAAAAAAAATTAAAAAGTTTTTAAGATGTAAAAATTAATGCGAGTGATAAAGAAAAAAAAAAGCAGAAGACAGAAAAATTTTTGTTAATAAATTATGCGATGAGTTGAGAAAACAACTCATGATGAGGATGGGGATCGATCGGATCCCCAAAATCTAATAATGATAATGATTTTTTTTTAAAGAATAAATATGTAATTTAATTAATTAGCGTAACCGTGAAATTTCAAAATGGCGTCGTTGATGAAAAACCGAGAGAGGGTGGGGGAGGGCATAAACGTCGTATAAATTAATTTTATATATTTACTATATATATATATATATATATATATATATATATATATATATATATATATTATTATTATATATTATTATTATTATTATTATTATTATTATTATTATTATTATTATTATTATTATTATTATTATTATTATTATTATTATTATTATTATTATTATTATTATTATTATTATTATTATTATTATTATTATTATTATTATTATTATTATTATTATTATTATTATTATTATTATTATTATTATTATTATTATTATTATTATTATTATTATTATTATTATTATTATTATTATTATTATTATTATTATTATTATTATTATTATTATTATTATTATTATTATTATTATTATTATTATTATTATTATTATTATTATTATTATTATTATTATTATTATTATTATTATTATTATTATTATTATTATTATTATTATTATTATTATTATTATTATTATTATTATTATTATTATTATTATTATTATTATTATTATTATTATTATTATTATTATTATTATTATTATTATTATTATTATTATTATTATTATTATTATTATTATTATTATTATTATTATTATTATTATTATTGTTGTTGTTGTTGTTGTTGTTGTTGTTGTTGTTGTTGTTGTTAAAACAAACTGACAGACGAATTGTTTTTCCCTTACGTTACACCCTTCACCGCCCCCCCGCCTTGTGCCCCACCTCATGCGTTCCCCCCTCTCCCCATCTTGATTTTAAATTGCGCGTTTATAATTTTTACGGTTTTTGATTGTTTTGTCAAAAAAAAAAAAGAAAAAAAAATTGTTTCCGTTTCCGGTTTTTTTTGAATTTCTCGTTTCTTTCTTTTTAATATTATTATTATTATTATTATTATTATTAATTTTGGGTTTTTTTTTGTTTTTTCAGGAGTAGGAACTGAGAGATCGTCGAAAAGAATCGTCGGTTCCGATAATACGACTGAACTTGAGCAGACGACGAATAATCAAACGACGCCGACGGGTGACGACTGTTCGAGTCCGACAATGTATCATCATCATCCGCTTCCGCATTCGCCAAATTTAAATCTCCGTCAATCGAGTCCGTATCCGGTTGAAAGCGTAAACATAACGCAGCAACCCCCCGCGGTTACGACCGCGACCGGAAATAATACTCAAAGGCATAAAAATCAACACGGTTACCAACAACACAATAAGAAAAAACCCTCGTCGTCGTCGTCGTCGTCAACGGTTCGAAACAAGTAAGTTTTTTTCCCCTCCCCCCTCTCCCCCTACGATTTATTTACTCTATGACTTTCAAAAAACGAACGTGAGAGTGCGTTCATTAATTAAAAAAAAAATTGTACACGTTAAAAATTACGAATGCGCTATTGGCAAATTTTTTTTTTTATTACCTTCTGCTGCCACGATTTCCCTCCCCCCGCCACCACCACTACGTCACAAGCTTTCGTTTTTTTTTTCTTATTTATTTTATTTTATTACGTAAAATGACCTGTTGAATGAATTTTTATTACGTAATAAAATAAATAATATGATTAATAATTTTATGTTTTGTTTGTGTTTGTTTGTTGTTTGTCGTTTGTTGTTAAACATCACGCACAAAGATTTAAAAAAAAAAAAAAAAAAATTGTCGGATTAAGAAGAGTATTTTGTTTTCTTTTCTTTTCTAAGGTCTAATAATAATAATAATAAAAATGAAAAATTATTCGCGATTAATGTTTTTTGTTCTGGAGCGGGATCGCTCCCGCTCCAGAACAAAAAAAATTTTTTTTTTTTTCCCCACAAATCCAAGAAAGAAAACAAAACCTTTGGGAACCCCAGGAAAGATTTTCTGGGTAATAAAATTTAAAAAGATAAAATATATATATATATATATATATATATATATATATATATATATATATATATATATATATATATATATATATATAAAATAAGATTAGGATAAAAAATCGAATGTTCGGATGAAGAAACTGAAGAGTAGGGGAGGGGTGGAAGGGAAGTAAGAAGCGGACGGACGAGGAGGGAAGGAGGAAGGAAAGGTGGGAAGAATAAAAAAAAAGAAGAAAAAAAAACGACGGAGAAAAATGAAAATAAAAGAAAAATAATAAAAATGAAAAAAAAAAAAAATTTCAAAGGTAAAAAACGTGATAGGGAGAGAAAGAAGGAGGAGGGAAAGGGAGGAGGGAGTTACGAAAATAATAATGATAATTATTTAACTTTTTTTACTTTTTTTTTTTTTATTCCAGGTTTTTTATAAAATCTGGATAATAAAAAAAAAAAATTAATTACTTAAACTTTAACATAAAATCATTTCCAGACTTTTCATTTTTTTTTCTTCACCCCCTCCCCTCACTTCTCTCTTCTCCCACTCTCCCATTCTTCACCCCCGTGTTTTTTTTCAATTTCGAATCGAAATTTTTTTTTTTAATTTAAAAAAAAATATATATATAATAATAATGATAATGATGATAATTTTACATTTTTATAACAAAAAAAATTTTTTTTTTTTCGCGGGGGGTGGTGGTGATGGTGCTGTCAGCGGGGAGGGGAGTAAAAAAAAGTTTATAAAAATTGTAATTATTAATAATATTATCTACACTCGTTGTTGTTGTTTGTTGTAAAAGTTGTTTTTCGTTTAAAAAAAAAAAATTCTGTTTTGTTATTGTTTGTTTGTTTGTTTTTCTCTTAATCAGGGTAAAAATGTCAATTATATAAATTTGTTATAATTAAAAGAGTTTAGGGGTAGGAAAAAAGGTGAGGGGATGAAGAGGTTAAAACAAACAACAACAGAAAAAAATAATTTTGCGTGTGGTGGGGGTGGTGAAAAGAGGATTTCAATATGGCGACCATTACGAAGAGTCTTTTTGTTTTTAAATTTTAAATCGTTTGTTTTGATTGTTTGTCTAATATTAATTGTTCGTTCGTTTGTTTGTTTGTTCAAACAGTGACAAAAGCGAGACGAATTCAACGGGTAATTACAATACTCAAAGGGATCACGCGATCGGTTTAGGATCCCGCGAACACAGTTCGGGTACTCTGACGTCACGGGGAAGAATTTCAAATAGGAGACATCAACAAACGAATAACGGTATGATGTCATCGACATCAAGTTCGAATTCATCGATATCCGATAATAATGATGATTATCACGATGTCGATCACAGAAGGCTGAATTTGGAAAATGGTGAGTGTTTGTTATTATTATTATTATTGTGGAAAATTCAATCGTGAGATGGAAAGAAAGTAAAAAAAAAATTTTTATTATTCGCAGATTTAAACGGTGATAGTCCACCGGAACCGGCACCGCCGGAAGTTCCGCCGCGCGGTCCCTCGTTACACGTAACCGGAAATTCGCACACGTTGCGAAGTGGAAGGAATACAAATGATAGGACTCCACAGGGACAAGACATTTTCCTTTCTCAGGGTGAGTAAAAGAAAATTTTATTTAATTCTTAAATTGAATTTTCGATTGAAAAAAAAAGAAATCATTTCCTTTGACAAAGGAAAAAAGGAAAAAAAACGAAGAGAAAAAAAATTCAAACCGCAAGCCAATAAATAGAAAAAAATTATTATTATTATTATTATTTAAAATAATTTAAATAAAAAATAATAATAATAATAATCTTAATCTTTCCTTTGATTTAATTTCAATTCAAAGGAATTCGTATATACGTAATCTCTTATTTCCAACCCCGCATGGAAAAAAAAAGAAAATTTTTTTTATTTTCCTTTGGCATTCTCTCGGAGGAATTATAAAACTCATTTATCCCGATGTGAAATTTTTTTTTTTCCTTTTTCCCTTCCTTTGTCCCCTCGTGGCCCGCGCTCCTCCTCCTCGTATTTATACCCCTCGAGGGCCTTCCCCCCTAGAAATTCGAGTTTAAAAAAAAAAAAAAAAAAAAAAAAATTTTTTTACGGTAAGAGCGTCAATAAAACGAGGATCATTTTGGCTCCTCAACAAAATTTTCTTTTTTTTTTTTCCATTTTATGTGTGTAAGGGCTAAATTCAGTGATACCAACTTTTGAAAGTAAAAAAAGAAAGTATATTTCGGTTAAAATTTAAATTGAAAAAAAAAAAATAGAAAAAATTAGAACGGATTATTGGAAAGTCTTTCTCTCTCTCTCTCATTTTTTTTCTTCTTTTTTTCTCTCTCTTTCATCCTACTACATGTTTTTTTCTCTTTCTTTTTCTTATATCTCTCTCTTTTTTTCTTTACTTTTCCTTTTATTTATCATTCTTTTGTCCACCATTTCTCTCTTTTTTTTATCGCTTTTTCTTTCTCGCTCTCTATTTTCTTTACTTCTTTTTTCTCTCTTTTTCTTACTTATTTTTCCATTTGTCTCTCTCTCCCTCTCACTTTTTTTCTTTTCTCCTTTTCTCTCGCTCTTTCTTTCTCCATTTTTTTTCACTCATTCGTTCTTTTTTCTCATTTCTCCATTTCACATTGTCTCTCTTTCCTTCTTTCTCCGTTTCTCTCTATCTCTCTCATTTTTTTTTCTTTTTTTTTTCTTCATCACTCGCTCTGCTTCATTTTCTTTCTTTCATCTGTTTCTTTCTGTCTCTCGCTCTCTTTCATTTTTTTCTTCCTTCCTCCCTTTCTCTCTCTTTGTCTGGTCTACCCTCAATCTTTCTCTTTTTTATATTCCTCTCTTTTCCTTTTCCTCCCTCTGTTTTTCTTTTATTTCCCTTCATTTTTCTCTCTCTCTCTCTCTCTGCCTGTTTCTTACGTCATAAAACTTTTCGCGATTTTATTTTTTTGGGTATTTTCCTCATAAAATTTATTAATTTACATTAAGGAAAATAATCGAGAAATTTCCCGATGAAAAAAACCAATTTTTTTTTTATTCTTGGGGTCCAATTAGATAAAAAAATTTTAAAAGTTGTTGAAGTGAAAAATTGAAATAAAATTGAAAAAAAAAAAAAATGAAAAACTATCAACTGATTAATTACAATGAAAAAAAGAGGGAAAATCCGGGGAACCGGGAAGGGTGAGGGGAGGAAAAAAAGTTTGATTAAGGGTGAAAGACAGACAGGATGGGTAATAATATTAATAAAATGGATTGTATTGCGGATTAAGTAACGTGGCGGAAGTAGATGTAAAAAAAAAAAACCGGAAATAAAAAGAAAGAAAATTTTTTTTTTTACCCCGGGGTTAAGAAAAATCGGTCAGGTTCACTTTTCTTTTCCTCTATCTCTTTCTTTCTCTCTTTTTCTTCTTCCACGTTACCCGTCGTTGCCAAGCAACTTAATAACATTTTTTCATTTTTGTAATTACTTTGTCATCGGTAGGAAAACTTTTCTTTTTTTTTTTTCAATCGATTTTTCCAAAATGGTTTTTCCACTTTTTTTTACCCTCCCTTTATTCGTTTTTTTTTTTTTTTTAAAAAAAACAAAAATTGCAATCGGACACTTTTCCGTAAAGAGAAAGAGAGAGAGAGAGAGAGGGGGGAAGAGAGAGGAGATGATTATGCGAGTGTTCAAAAGACTGGAAAAAAAAAAAAAAAACGTAAAAGGATTGAATTTTTTTTTCTTTTTTTCTCCAGCGATTCAGGTTTCACATGGCTGGAGTCGTTTTTCACGAGGGAAAAAGACAAAAAAAAATGAAAATCTTTCTCTGTCTCTCTTTCTCTTTTTTCCTTTCTCTCTCTCTCACTCACACACGCGCTGAGAAATCACATTTCGCGATTAAAAATTTATTTATTATTATTATTATTATTATTATTTTCTTTAAATTTCTCTACGGAAAAAAAGGATGTGGGGGTGGGGGTAACGGGGAGTTAGATGAAGAAAACCGGAAGTGCAATATTATAAATCCGTTAAAACAAAAAGGAATTAAAAATAAATAAATAATTTTTTTTTTTTTTAAATGTTTTCGTGGAATGAAAAAAAAACAAAATGGCGTCAATGATGATCGTTTGTTTGTTTGTTTGTTTGTTTCGTTTTATTTTTATTGCATTTTTTTTTTTTTGTTATTCTATTGAGACAGGAAGCAGACTCGTAATTTTATTTTTTTTCATATTTAAACGTAGAAACGAAGCCAAATCGGCGAAAAGGGAAAAAAAAGAAAGTCAAAGGAAAGGAAAAAAGGAAAAAAAAAATTTAATAAAATTTGAAGATAAAATAAAAATAATAAAAAAGGAAAGGAAAAAAAAAGGAAAATTGTCGGGGCACAATAAACTCCGCGTTTGAAATAAAATTTAAAAAAAAAAATAGGAAAGTGAAGGCAAAAGAAAAGAAAAAGTGTAGGATGGTAGGGATCCGGGGGTGGAGAAAGTGGGAAGGGGAGGGGGACGGGGAAAAAGAGAAGGGAAACGCGAGGGAAAAAATTTCCCTTATCTAATTCAATTTCTTTTTTTTTTTTTTTATACGGGGCAAAAAAAATTGGTTCCAGAGTTTTTTTTTTTTTTAAATTGTGATGAACCGGATAACGTGATATTTGGTTATTGTACAAACCATATTTCGTGTCAAAAGAAAACTTATAACTTTTCTATTTCCACAATGTTTTGTTTCGTTTCGTCAGAGTTACCACTGTGTCATTTTTCTTGAACCACTCGATTCCTTTTTCCTCTTCTACTTTGATGTTTGGTTTTTTTTTCGTTTTTTTCTATTTACACGACATTTTTTTTTTCATTTTTTGTATCATTTAACCAACCGCTACTGCCACATTACTTGTCGTCGAGTATACTTTTTCCAAACCCTTTTTTTTTTTTTTTAATTTCATTTTTCGTTACGATAAACTTCTCTTCTGCTTTCTGAAAACGGAAATGAATGAGTTAAACAAAAATGGTTTTTTCATTTCCTGTTTCTTTAAAAATTTTCTTTGACAATTTTATTTTTCCGTCGTTGTTGTTTTTCAAAAAAAAAAAAAAAAAACATTTCTTTTAATTATTAACATTTAGTAACAATATGATTTTTAAAAAAAATTTTTTTTTCTTTTTTCGTTTCTATTTCCACGACGTTTTTAAATTTCAAAAAAAAAAAAATTTTAATTAAATTACTTTACACGAAAAAGCGAAAAAAAAAATTTTTTCAAATTATTTTAATTTAATTTAAATGATTAAAAAAAAGAAAAAAATTTGTTTGTTCGTTTGTTTGTTTGTTTGTTTGTTTGTTGAATAAAACAAACAAACAAAAAAAAAATTTATACTTGAAACGTTTTTCGAATTTTTTTTTTTTTTTTACTGAAAAAAAATTTGTTTTGCGTTACGCTTATTTCCCTTTTTTATTTTTATTCGATTGTCGATACGTGATGTAAACGAGGGAGAGAGAAAAAAAAATCTTTTGCCACGTTTTTTTTTTTTTTTTTTTATACGTAATTTCATTTCGTTCGTGAAATTTTCTTTTTTTTTTTTTTGTTACACGTTCGATTGTTTTTTTTTTTGTTTAATTCGATAACGAAATAAAAAAGTAATTAATAAAAAAATTATATTATTAGTCTAATGACACGTCATTTAATTATTTAAAATCCTTTTTCGTTTGAATTTTTTTTCTATTACTCGTATTTAATTTTTTTTTTTTCATCTTTTTTTACGACGGTTTTCACTTTTTTTTATGATTCCCACGGCCGTAAATTTTTTATTTAATTAATTAAAAAAAGGCGGGGGAAAAAAGTGGCAGAAGAAAAAGAAGAAATAGAAAGAAAGAATGAAAACAATAACAAAAAAAAAAAAAAAGAAAATAGAAATGGAATTAATAAATTTATTAAAAATTAAATTTTGTTGATTTTTAAACGATCACGCGACGTTAATATAATTAAAAAAATTTTTTTTTTGTTTTACATAATACATAAATTTATTTATTTATTTAACCGTTTGATAATAATGATAATAATAATAATAATAACTTTTAGTTATAATATATGGGAAAACCGTTGAAATTTGTGTGCGTGTGTGTGCGTTTGAATTCGAACCGTTTAATTTAACTCGTAAATGTAACGGATCTAGTATTTAAATATTAAGGAGGGAAATTTTTTCCCTCACCTATCTAAATTTTCGTTGGTAGGAAGGAATGAGGAAGTGGAGTAGGAGGGGGGGGGCGTGAAGGAGAAAAACGGAAAAATGTTGAAAAGAAAATAAAAAAGGATGGGGAAATTGTGGTAAGGAGGAAGGGGGGAAAAATTTCTCGTAAGCGAAACATTTCGACTCGTATTTTATCTTCTACGAATTTTCCACCCCATTCCACTCGTCGTTTTCACCCCCCTCCACTCATCTTGACCGTTTGTTTATTACGAATGACTTTTATCTTTTTTCTTCCCACCCCATTTCACTCCCTTTTCTCTCTCTCCTTTCCTTCGCTCGCTTTTTTTTCTCAATTCTCCTCCTCCCCACCCCCTTTCTCTCTCTCTCTTCTGCTCTGTATTTGACCTCGTTCGCGACTTTTTTCCCTCGTTAGAAAAAGGGAAAAAAATGAATTTACCTGTGTGAGTTTTAAA